ATTGGTTTCTTGGGAATTGTTCTATAAGAGGGGATTTGGGGTCTGCATATCTCAAAACCCAAGAGAGCAGGGAAGGGAAAAGGCTGTGGGTTCAGCTCTATAAGCACAGGCTTTCCCAGGGACCCGCTAACCCAGCCAGAGCCCTGTATTTTCAGCTTTCGAAGTCACCCATGTAGAATTATCCTTTGGAATCAAAACTTCTATTTCTTTCAGAAAAATGGTGCTTCTGTCTTTTCTAAATTTACTTTGAAAACAGGATCCCAGTGTAATTCTGCCTGCAGCTACGTCTCTTGGAGGGCTGCACTGCCCTTTCTGTCTCAGAGGTACTTTACAATGCTGCTAATTTATAAGACATCATTATGAGTACCTAGCATAAGCTTGGGCCGAAATACACAGCTAATGTGTCTGTTCCATAGCGTGACATCCTAAATCAAGTCTTTGCCTCCATGCATGTGAAAGGCCCAGTGTTTTCCTCCTCTGTGAGTTTCTGAATTCAGCCCTCCTACCTCGCTCTCAAAATCCCTTTGATAACTTCTGCTGCTGATTGTTGTGTAATTATTTAATCTCAGCTTTTAAAAAATAAAGCCATGAGAAAATTTGCTGTCCAATGGATGGAGACAGCGTAAAACTCCAAGTCCGTGCGGTGCCCGGGTGCAGCAGCAGGTACCAGCAGCCCAGCCACCGCGGCGCGGGGGCTGCCCAGTGCACAGCCGGCAGGGCAAGGGGCAGCGCTCGTCTTGCTTACTGACACGGCCCCGCTGTCTTGGAAGTGCCATGGTAACTGTGCTTTTGGAGGAAGGTACTGATTAGTGATAGCTGAGCAAGCCACATCGGAGCCTGGTTTATGTTGTCGTTTGATTCAGCTGCAGCAATGTGTAAGGAACTGTAAATTTGAGGTTTGTACCTGAGAGACTCTTACTCTAAAGGAGAACAACTGGTGGTAAGGGCAGTTTAGTAAAGCCAAGTAATTATCTGATAAACAAGGTCCTTATAGAAGTGTATGAAGATTACATTGTCCCTTCTGATTCCTAAACCCTTGTCATAAATGCATTACATGTGACAGATCTTACATTACTGTCATGATCTTAGAAAGCAGTCATTGCTCAACTGCCTTATGGGATTTCATTCTGGGTCGTACATAAACTTTTGAAAAAACACCTAAGTGCCTGGTTTTCTAAGGTGCAAGATATCTTAGGGTAGATAAGTACCTATTAACAGCTGTCTGTAAAGGAAGTTAGAAGCCCAAAATCATTTACTAAGTCAAGGCAAAAAAAAAAAACAAACCCCAAAAAAACCCCCCACCTAATTCGTTTTGATACTTGGCAATTTTGTCAAGTTGTCTTCCATTTCCTGATTGCTATACTAATCCTAAGATATGAACATTTAAATTATTCTGGAATAAAATTTACTGCATCTTTCCATAAGCATGCTTTTCCAAATGCAATGATCAAATAATCTGTAGTGTTTCAGTCTGCCAGCTCAAGAAGACTGAAAAAATAAAGTGTTGTTGTTGGTGGAGAGTGTCAAAGTTAGCTGGATGCACTGTGTTTGGAGCAAATGGTAAAGAACACATTGAATTTCTTAGTATGTGCTCTGATTCAGCAGAGACTGGTGGTGGGGCAGGGCTGAAATAATTACTTTATCTCCTGTTGAATTGCAGTGAGGGTCAGATGCATAATCATTACGGAGCTTCTAGAAATGCCAGTCTGTAATCTGCAGATGTTGGGTCGTGAGGTGAGGAGGCCACCAGCAGAAGGGATGACGTTCACAGCCCAGGTAGAAGGCTGCTAGCGAGCAGCGTGTTGCCAAAAGCTGTGGGAGGGTAGCGCTTCGCCTACTGCGGTAGCTGATCTCACAACTTCAGAGGCCAATCCTCTCACGACGTAGTGAAAAAGAAAAATCTCGCATTACTGTTTGCCATACTCTAGCCGTGGGTGAAAAGAAAACTTGAGCCTTTAGGACTGGCAATAACACCACTTTTATTAAGTTTCTATTGAAGGACTATTTTGAGTAAGATAAATTGATGGGCTGAATGCAATAACATTCAGTATCTCACTTTCAAATACTTGGTGGGCAAGCACTACTGAATAAGAGAAGAAATTAAGCCAAGATGTAGAAAAAAGGTTACTTGGCAACATCATAGTGTTTGTAGAGAGGAGAAGGAAGGGTCAGGAACTTAATGAATTTCGATTACAGACTTTTCTATAAGTAAGTCATTGCATGAATAGAAAAATCCTAAACCAGATTTTGGTGTCATAGTCTAATAGTGATTGCCTAAAGCAAAATAGGGTTTGTTTGGAAACAAACTGCAGAGAATAGCAAAAGCATAGCTGCTGTGTACGAGCAAAATTGGACTCCCCAGAGGCAGGCAGTGCTGGTCATAGCTCAAGCAGAGACAATCTAAACAGCGTGTGTGGTACTGATGAAAGTTGGTGTTCATTTTTTGTTTTGTCTGGAGTAAGTACACTTGGAAGCGTGGAAATGTTGATTCGGAGACCCCCATGTTTACCATGTGGCATACTATTAAAAAAGTTCCAGCTTACCTTCAGTAGTTGGGAGGAAGGAGGAAGATACCAACTTAAGCACTATGGCCTATAATTATACTTCTGCCCAGCTTGCCAGTGTGATTTCAATGGGTAAATGAATTTTCCTCTGTAATAATAACCTTATTAATTTCTGACCCTTGCAGAGAAGAAGAATCCGTTGATTGTCAGAGTTCAGATTTTTGCTGTGGGTTTCTGTAGTGGTAACCAGTTGTATGGCTCAACTAATAGCACCTCGTGCTTTGGGTGGAATAGGAGGTGCAATACCAAAACAAAAAAAAAGTTATCTACCAAACTGCCCCTTCCCATCCAGTCCAGCCTGCAGTAAAATCTGTTTTTAAAATAAAGACCAAATTAAAGTAAACAGATCTTATAGAGCCGGAATCTTGCAAATTAATTAAGTGAATTAATTCAGTGGACCATGGCAACGAAATGAGGTACATTTATGGTAAATACAGTTTGATTGGAAATACTTAATTATGGTACCTAGGAAAGTGCAGTCTAACAAATAATATCTCGGCCCCCCCCCCATTTTAGCTGTTAGTAAACGTTCTACCAAATCTAAAAGACTCAGTAAAACCTTGTTAGTAAGTGCATTCACATGGACATTTTTCCATTGGAGACAGTACATATCCATATGGAGTCTGATTTCTTGAACCACTGTAAACTCCCCAGCGTATGGAGCCGAATTGCTCCCTAGAGGATGCTTTTGGTCTTTCTCACCTATGTAGGGAGCTGAAGTTAAAGACACTGGTAGATGTTTTCACACAGTTCGGCATATAGTAAATACTAATTTAGTATACTAAAAATAGTAAATACAGTTCAGTAAATAAAGGAATACTTCAAAAGTCTATATTTTCTTAGGATTTGTGCTCTATTTTCTATTACTGATCATACATCTCATTACAACTATGGGGATTTAAGAAAAACAGATTGACAGTGATGTGTGCTAGTTACTTGTTTTTTCTTTTTTCATTCAGTGTGGAGAGCAAAACTAATAAAACCTGTCTAATTTTCTTTTTACTTCCAGGCACCGATTTTTGAATGTCTGTTGTGCCAGTTTTCCCCATAAGTCTTAGAAGAGCATTATTTTGGGTGCTTTAAAATCCTGAGAGCTTGGTTTCACTGCTCTGATGATTTGAGATATAAGTGGACTATATTCTGCCATAACTCCTACATACCTCAAGATTTCTACTTGAAGTTAAGCTCTAACCGTGATCAAAGTGGCACATCAGTGGAATGGGTTGAAGTTTTGTGGAGTTGGGATGGGGTTTTCTGTGATGTTAATCCAGATGCTGTGCTATTCAAATGTTAAGTTGAGCAAAATCAAATTATGGTAATTCTGCAGAGAAATAATTGCTATTCCAGAGTAGGCAATGGGTTGCCTTTTGTATTTTAAGTTATTCTGTTACAAATTAGAACTTATAACCACTAAGTATGCATAAAGCACTTCTCTTCCCTATTATGTTTCTCTGTTCTGCTTAAATTTAAAAAACAAAACCCAAAACACTTCAAACCCAAACTTCTATGCTCGGTCACATATAGTTGATAAGATCAAATTAATACATGTAGTTTGCAAATAACGGATTGAACTAAATTTTAAACATAATTGGCTATATCTATGGTTGCTTGGTGCTCTACCACATCAGTTTCTGACTTTATAGATTTTGGGAAGATGAGCTCAGGATTTTGTATGAGGGTAAGAAGTTGTCATTAGCCTCAGTTCTGCAATTTCCAGGCTTCATGAAAGCACTCCTGAATGTACCTGACTGTGTGTAAACAAATATTCCTGC